TTAAAATTTTATTGTAGACTTAAGAGAGGTATGATTTAAAAAAGCAGAATAAATTAAAAATTCATTCAGAAATAAAAAATAATAGAGGTGCCTAGGTGGCTCAATTGGTTAAGCATCCAACTCTTGATCTCAGCTCAGGTCTTGATCTCAGGGTTGTGAGTTAAACATAATAATAATTAAAAAAATAATAATAATAATAAACATAAAGCTTGTATAGAAACATGAACAATTAATTAGGAATTGGGAGAGAATGACAAATATAGGAGATCATAAAAAATTATCAATGTATTAATTACAACTATTACAAAAACAAAGAAGATAAAAGGAGTAAAGGAATTAAGTAGTCTACTAAGGTAAAGAGGTTGTATGTATTTTTCTGTAAAACTATTTAAATATTAAACTTTAAACATTTTTAAAAGATTGCATAGGATTTGGAATTAGGAAGTAGTGTATTCAAGTTCCTGCTCTGTTATTTACTGCTAAGTCTCTTCAACATTTTTTAGCCTCAGTTTTGTCATTTGTAAAATAATATTTACATACCTAACAAGTACATAAGAAAATCAAATGAGACTATAATGAATACATTAACAGTTCACAAACTCTGAAGTGTTATCCAATGTAAATCCCAACTATTTCAAAGGAATGTAAACTCTAGTACATGAGAAAGATATGAACTAAAGTGTTATTAATTAATTTTAAGAATGATGGATGTTGGGTGCCTGGGTGGCTCAGTCAGTGAAGCGTCTGCCTTCAGCTCAGGTCATGTTCCCAGGGTCCTGGGATCGAGTCCCGCATTGGGCTCCCTGCTCAGCTTCTCCTCTGCCTCTCTCTCTGTCTCTCATGAATAAATAAATAAAACCTTAAAAAAAAAATGATGGATGTTAACTGGACTTACTGTGGTGATCATTTTGCAATATAAACAAATATCAAATCATTATATTATACACCCAAAATTAATATAATGTTATGTCAATTATACCTCAGTTAATAAAAATGACAAATGCCTTAGAGTACTGTGGCTCATTTTGTTTTATAAGCAAATGTCAGCATACAGAAAATGATTTAGAAAAAGCTATGATATAATTCTCATTATAATCTACACAATGGTCAGATGCTTTATAATTATAATATGCCTGGATTTATCCCCAAGTATTAGAAAAGAAAACTGTCAAAATAGAGAAAGTTTTTAAAAGAACAAGAACATTAAAAGGTTATAGAGGGAAAACTTTAAGTCAAACTTGGTTGTGATAATGACAGAACAAGTTGTTTCAGACTACCTTCCTCTAGGCTGGAAACTGTAAAAGTTGGACACTGTTAAAAGCTACCAGCACTAAAGAAGAATAATACACATTGGACTTATGGGACTGCGATATCTGGAAGAAGGGAAGCACAGCCAGGTAAGCTCTAAATTTAAGGTGACTTTTTTCCTTAGGTTATTTGTTGAATCAGGTTACAAAGAAAAAGGCATTCTTACTAGACTGGGGATACAGAGGCTGGAGTTTAAGGATGCTGAAAGAGTAGAAACTTGAGAGGCTAAGATCTGGAAAGAAGGGTACTATAGAGAAGCAAGCCCAAAGATCTGTATGCAATTTCCCGGAGTCATCGGTTGACTTCTAAATGGCATGTATGGGTGAAACCCCCAAGAAATCCAATAAAAAACAGTAGCCGAAAGGCTAATGAGCTGAGCAGTTACCAGAGGATTAGAGCAGCTACATGACGTTGAGAAGACAAAGGTTGGAGCCATGTCTTGTCAAAGTAGAAGGGTTTTGGTAGGCACCCTACACTTTCAGTTAAAATCCTGGCAATAAGGACAAAGGTGAAATAGACCAGCCCTAAGAAAGGTTAAAACCAGACCCTAACAGGATCAAGGTGAGATGACAGTATTCTATCTGCCTGCAGAAAACTTAACTCTTTGGAAATAAAAAATGTCTTCCAGAGTCTCTACAATTTCTATCCACAATGTCCAGCATTGTGAGGCATACTAAAACAGTTGACCCCAATAACCAAAAACCAAGAAAAACAGTAAACCATAAAAAGAGGCCTCCAGTGATTCAGACAGTTGAATCATGAAACAGATTAGGAGTAACATATAAGAGGGTAAAAGAAAAACATGTGGAGCTGCACCAGAAACAAAGAATCTATTTTTTAAAATATTTATTTATTTTTGAGAGAGAGAGAGAGAGAACTAAAGAGAGTGAGCAAGAGCACAAGTCAGGGGGAGGGGCCAAGGGAGAAGCAGACTCCCCACTGAGCAGAGAGCCTGATGCGGGCTCGATCCCAGGACTTCGGGATCATGACCTGAGCCAAAGGCAGATGCTTAACCGACTGAGCCACCCAGGGACCCCACAGAATCTACTTCTAAAAACTCAATTAAAAACTCTAGAACTGAAAAATACATTGAGATTCCAAAAGATGTTTTAAAAACACATTAGAAATAGCAAAACAGAGTATTAATTAACTGCAAGGTACTGGTAGAAAATATTCAGACTCAAGTACAGAAAGAAGTAAGGAAACAACCAAAGTATTGATCAATGCAAAAATGTATAAAAAATGTAGCATATACCCATAATGGAATAGTATTTGACCTTAAAAAAAAGAATGAAATCCTACCATATACAACAACACAGATTAATCTGCAAGAAATTACACTAAGTGAAATAAACCAGTCACAAAGGGACAAATACTGCATGATTCTACTTACATGAAATATCAAACTCATGAAAGCAAAGAATAGAATTGTGGTCAGCAGGGGCTGGAGGAAGAGGAAAGAGAGAAATGCTAACCTACCAAAATTTCAGATACACAGAATGAGTAAGTTCAAGATTAGCTGTATAATACTATGGGCTGTAGATAACAATACTGTATTGTACACTTAAAAATTGGTTAAAGGGGTAAATTTCATGTCAACTGCTTTTATCACACTAAAGTTAAAAAAAAAAGAAGAAATGAAAAATATAAGATTAATTCAAAAGGCGGCAAAAAAAATGGGGGGCAGGTTAGAGAAGCAAAGGAAAAAGAATCGATGGTCTATTTATCCTATGGAGTCAATCTGTTGTAAAGCTTGGAGGTACAATCGGAGAAACCAACTGTAGCGGTTACTTATTTTTGCTTGCTCTGTCTCTATTTCCCTTGTTTTCCTTTGGAAACCCATCTCAATTTTCTTTTAGAAAATCATCTTTCCCCATTTTTAGTACATACAGTTTGCAATGAGGACTGTAACCCCTGACATGGGGGAAGAACTGTGACTGGCCTCAATTTGGATAGTTTTATTAAAACTTTTAGGAGAATGGAAAATGTAGAATTACTTGCTGTAAGATTTGTAAATCTTGCATTGTTGGGGCCACCATGTAAAGAGTTGCTAAAGAATGAAGCGTTTGCTAAAGAATGAAGCAGACCTAATGGATGGGAAGAAAGACTGAATTATAATACCATCATTTGAGCACCTGGATCCACCCCTGGAATTTTCAGTTATACAAGCTAATACATTATTTTCTTGGCTTAACCTAGTTGGAAGTAGGTCTGTCATCTGTAATCTCAGAATCCTAATGGGTATGCCCAATATGTACTTAATGTCTAGATGGAACATAGCACCACTTTTATCAGATATAATATAAAACAAATTAATTCACAGATATGAGGACTTGTCAAATCCCACCAAATATCCTCTGCCGAGGAATGTTGGTTAAATTCAGGGCAGAGACTATTCTACCAATGGAAGACAAAAGCACAGTGGTAAACTTTTTCAAAATTTTCTTATAATAAGAAAAGTAGAACTTTCCAGTAATTCGGTTAGATTTGGTGAAGGCACTAGCTATCTGAAACAGTATTTCCTCCCAGTTAGGAAGCTATGCTAGCCATTAATTCTCTGCCTCTATCTCCTACCCTCTTTCTGCACACATGGATAGATATTTACATACCTAGACATACAGCATATTTTCTTCCAACTCAAAAGCACTGTTTGGTCAGTGGTCATGTAGTTTATTCACCATGTTTGTTTTGAAAGAGGTAATTTTGAGCAAAGATAAAACAAAGGCATTCTTATACAAATATGTTAAAACCAAGCGATACTACATGAATGCTTGAAAGAGATGAAAATTTTATATACATACAATATACATTTAACGCTACTAAAATCATCTTTGACAAATAAGCAAAATCAGTTTTTTTAGATTTTGTTTGTAAAACAATTCTGAAAATCCAAATGACAATTAGAATTAAAAAACTGGATGGCTTCTGAATTACTATTTCCATAAATGGTTACTTTAATATTTTCTAAAGTATTTAATGGTTCCATAAGAAAAATTTAATTACTTATTAGGCACCACAATAATCTGTTTTTGTAACTCTATTTCCAAAAAAGGACACAATTCAATCAACTACTTTCAATAGCAAGCTTTTCATAAAAATCACATTTAATAAATAGTGATTTTTTTCTATGAATTTTTAACTTCTGTATAATCAAAGAAATGGACCTATTTGAAAATTTTACTTCTTTATAACCTATATAATTAAACTTTAGAGCACACTACTTTTGGTGTTAAGTTTTCTACATTTGGTCAAAATGAGTCAACTTCCTTTAAATTATTATGCAATATGGCTCAAGTTAAAACTAAGACAAATTTTTTCAAGACTTAGTGGGTTTAATAACATACTACTTTAACATACACCAAACTATACCAACATTGTGAAACTAAATCTATTTACTTGAGTTAAGGTGAAAAGTGGTATCTGTAAGAAGTGTTCACTGAGCTTTCAGAATGTCCAGATTCAAATTACACTCATTTCTGTCAGTTAATAAAATATAGTAGTTAGAAAGAATATGATGAAATCAACAAAATCCTAGTAACATGCTGAAATCAGAAAATCCATGTTGAAATCAGAAGTATTTGTGACCATATAGAAAAGCTCAAGGTGTTAAAATGTAATTTAATATAATCTTGCAGATTACAAATGGAGCACTGAGATATTAATATGCATATAAGAAAACAAAGAAACAATACCCTTTTTAGTTGCTGTTCTTTTAAGCTTCTCACTGTCCTTGCAGGCTCAGAAATGAAGTTTTTATAGTTTTCACATATATTGATCCGAGACTGGGCTACCTGCATTGTTCCCTCAAGAAAAGATTTCCAAACAGGATACATGCTCCTAAATTCAAAGAGGGACAGAAAAGTATTAGGCAGGGAAAAGGAAAAAAAAGTTGGCTAACCTTATGCTGACTAGCACTGTGAAACAGATGGATGTTTTCTTTATAGTTGAAAGTGTATTTACACTGCTTTATAGATAGTAATATTTTTAACATATACAGGTAGAAACATGACATATACTTTATTCCTCGAGAACTCTGCAGTGGGCTGTTTTGATTCATCAGCTATTCTTGATACTGAAGTAAAGTGATACAAGGATTACAATTCCAGACAAAGCTAACACTATAAAAATTAGTGAATAATTCAGACTGTCCAGATCTTTCACTGTCTCAGGGTCATCACTGTGAATATCAAGTTTCATTATTTCATTAAAATATTTTCCTGGGGTGCCTGGGTGGTGCAGTCAGTTAAGTGTCCAACTCTTGGTTTTGGCTCAGGTCATGATCTCAGGGTCTTGGGATCAAGCCCTGTGTCGGGCTCTGTGCTAAGCACGGAATCTGCTTGAGATTCTCTCTCCCTCTCCCTCTGCCCATCCCCCAACTCTCTCTCTAAAATAAATAAAATCTTTAAAAATTTTTTCTAAAAGATATTTTCCTAATTTTAGAGATGGGTAACCGAGACTCAGAGATGTAGAGAATCACTCTAGATCACACTAGAGCATGGTAGTACTGAGATACAGATGAAACCTGGGTACCTCTAAAGTACAGTCTTTCAACCACATCATATTACTTTCTTATATACTGATATGGCTGGGAAAAAAATCATGAACAATTGCTTACGTGCTTGAGAAGTCTACGGTATCGTTGCTCTACATCTGTTTCTCTGTTGTAATAATGCTTAGCTAGCATCACATTGTGGCTTGGAATCGTTCCAAGCAAGTCCCATCATCTTTGCTTGATAAATGTGCTCAGTAATCGCTTTGTAAAGTCAAAGAATTATTCATCCTTTGCTTTTTGTAGCCAATATCCTTTTCAAAGCTTCTCTTCTACTTTGCTAAACACCTTAGTCAGTTCTAGTATGCACCTACACTAGGTTAAACATATTTTATAATTATTGTAACAATGGATAGTATTTTGTTTTTAAAAATGAAATACTGGTAGATTATAACATTCATCTCCTGAGATTTTCTTCCCTTGCCATGTGGATTTTCTACTATAGATTGCTATAGTAGATTCCTTGTGTTACATAAATGCTAGCAGAGGGTCAATGGATGAAATGGATGACAGTGTAAAAATAAGAAAAAGGGGGCGCCTGGGTGGCTCAGTCAGTTAAGCGTCTGCCTTCGGTTCAAGTCATGACCCTGGGGTCCTGGGATCGAGTCCTGCATCGGGCTCCCTGCTCAGCGGGGAGTCTGCTTCTCCCTCTGTCCCTCTGCCCCTCCCCCTGCTTGTACATGTTCTCTCTCTCTCTAGCTTGCTCTCTCCCAAATAAATTAAAAATCTTTAAAAAAAAAATAAGAAAAAGAAAAATTGCCTGAGTCCCCAGCTTACTTAGAACTAAAAAAACCCTTGTAACTGTATTTTTCAACCAAGGAAATGATTAGTTTATGTAATGAATTAGTTTTTGTAAAATACCAAATGAATCAATTTACATGGAAATGTTCATTTATTTAAGCAGAAGTATATCACATTCTCTTTGGAAAAAAAGATTCAGTGTGTTGTGCCAGCAAAAACTTTCAGCATAAAAGCAAAATGAATATGAGATGATGGACATTAACTAAACCTATTGTGGTAACCATCTCACAATATATGTAAATCAAACCATCATGCTGTACACCTTAAACTTATATATTTTTCAATAAAGCTGGGAAAAAAAAAAAGAACAGCAAAATTAATGTCCTCCATGGCCTTGCTGCATGACAACTGATGGAACCTAGGATGTAAACTCACCACAAGCCCTCCTAAGCAGTCCAAATAATTGATTTTCTCAGATTTGTACATTTTAAAATCATAATGAAAATGAGAAAGAACCACTATGAATTGTGATAGGAAGGAAGGAGGGTAAGAAGGACAGAAAGAAGGAAGGAAGGATCCCTTCATCTAGGCTCTCCCCTTAGGTAGCACCCTCTTCCCTCTACCTCTTGGCCTAGTTGACTGCTGTTCATCCTTCAAATCACAGCTTAATTGTAACTTCCTTAGAGAAGTCTTTCATGATCACCACCAACCCAACCCACAAACTCAATCAAGTCCCTCTCTGGTATTCACTCACACGGCTCCAGCATTTTTCAATTTTACATATTTTTATGTAATTATTAGTTAATGTCTGTCCTTCTCACTATAGTGAAAATTTCCTGAAGGTAAGGGTACATGTCTTTCTCACTATCTTCCTAGGGCCTAAACACATGGCCTAACATTTAGAAAGGTTCCAGGAAGTATGTGTTGCATGAAAAAATGAACAGATATAAAATTATGAGGATTATACAATAAAAAGAAAAATTCCTTCCTTATAGAGTTTAAAAAGAGATCTTTGGGGATTAGCAGATCTATAGCAGGGAAACATATCCCCAATAATGACACACCACAAAAAGAACAGAATTCAGTTACCAGTTCATCAGAAGACCCGGGCTCAAGTTCTAGCTCAACCAATATAATCATATGTAGGATACTTCACTATACTCTCATTTCCTCTACTGGCAAATGAAGAAAGTAACAAGAACACCAGCACCACGTCCCTCACGGGGCTCCTTTGACAGTAAATGCAAATGATGTGAAAACCCTTGGCACAGATTCTTTTAAATGTATAAATAGTAAGAGAAACAGAATTGTAATAGAAATACAAGTGCTTCTTCATATAATAGTGATGGCGGCAATGGTAGTGTTTTTCATTCCGAGTAAGGAAAAATAATAATGGTTATAGAATGATTTTTACATCTTTTTTAAATTCACTAGGCTTCATACATGATTTTGAAGCATAAGATGCTAAGCATCTATGGTATTTTGCTATTCTGCTCAGGTCAGGAAACTAGGTTCAGAATTATGAAAGAAAGGAAGGAAATTCTTTTAAGAATCTATCACATGCTAGACACTATGCCATGTATTTTTGCATTTACATTATCATTTAATCCTCATGTCAACTTTGTGAAATAGGCATTATCCCCATTTTTTAGAGGAGAAAAGTAAGGCTTGGAGAGGTTGTAGAATTTTTCTAAGGCTATTCACCAAGAAATAGCACTCCCATGGTCATAACCTAGACTTCGCCATTACCAGTAACTACCCCTCTGCTGTAATCACAAATTAACCATCTAATCCCTGACCAACACCTTCTATTTCTATTCATTCCCTTTAGGATTCTGACTCCAACAATTATTCAAACTCTATCAGAACCCATAATCCATTCGATCCTATACCCCTTCCCACTGTCTCCTACCCCCTCTCTCATAATTTCCCTTCTCAGCTCCTTATCCAGCTTAAGTTTCATGGTCCACCATTATAGTAACTGCCTATGTATACCCTTATGACTCTGGCCCCTCTCTTTTCATCATTCTCATCTACAAATTTCAATGTTGGTTAAATCTGTTTGTACCGTACCAATCTCTGTGCAGCAGAATACTACTGAAGAAAACGATAATCATGCTGCTTGGTCTCAGTTTAAACTGATGGCTAATAAAATTCTAGTAACCCCTTAGTGCTATGCAGCAATTCTACTATAGTCCCCTAAATCCTCTTACTCTCTCAATCTTCTACACAATTATTTCCCACCTTTTCCCCTCATCTCAAACCTCTAATATGACCACACTTTCAGCCGATAATGAAGCTACCAGAAGACAATGCCCATATGGTCCCACCACAGCTACCAATCTCCCTACTTCTGCACCCATGCACTCGGTCACCTCTCCTTTTACTTGGCTGAACTACCTGTGCTCTGAAGGCCAAACCTTCACATTTATACTGTATTCTATAACTCACTCAAGAACAGCAATCCAGTAATTGTGCTTTCTCCTACAACATCGACTGTTCCACCTCCACTGGATGGATCTCTAAATATGCTATATGTCTCCATTCTAAAAAAACAAAAACAAAAACAAAAAACCCTCCATCAACCCTCCATTTCTCTCCAGCTACCACTCCAATGCCTGCTCCCTTTCACAGCAAAACTCCTTGAAAGAATTGTCCGAAATTACTGCTTTTAATTCCTCTGCTCCTGGTCTCTCTCTCTCTCTCTTTTTTTTTTTAAGAGAGAGAGAAAGAGCACGTGCGCACATACGACGCAGGAATCAGGGGAGGGGTTGGGGTGAGGGGCACGGCAGAGGGGGAGAGAGAGAGAGAATCTTAAGCAGGCTCCACGCCCAGTACCAAGCCAACGAGGGGCTTGATCTCATGACCCTGAGATCAGGGCCTGAGCTGAAATCAAGAGTTGGATATTTAACCAACTGAGCCACCCAGGTGCCCCGCTCCTGGTGTCTCTGAATTTAATTTAAATAAGGCCTTAGCCTCCACCATTCTTCTGACATTGCTTGTCAAGGTCATCAAATATCTCCTTATGGCTAACCCAATAGTCAATTCAAACTTTGGTCCTATTATCCAATTTATCAGTAGAACTGACCTAGTTTATCCTTCTTGAAATGCTTTTTTCCCTTAGCTTCTAAGACATCACTCTCTTGCAGTCTACTCCTATCTCACTAGCCACTCTTTAGTCTCCTTTACTGATTCCTCTTCATCTCACTGCCCTGTAAGTGCTGGAGTGCCCCTGAAGTTAGTCCCCAGGCCTCTCTTCTCTAACCACACTCACTCTTTAGATATGCTCATTGAGGCTCATGGTTTTAAATACTGTCAATATACTAACTATTCCCGAATTTTTATTTCCAGCCCAGACATCTTTCCTAACCTCCAACTGCCTATTTAACATATCCAACTTGGACATCTAGTAGGCATCTTAAGACTATAATGCCCAAAACCAAATTCTTGAAATCTGTTGTCAACTGATTCCATCTCAGTGATAGTGTTTGTTCAAGCCAGAAGCCCTAGAGTCATCACTGATTTTTCCTTTTTCTCTCATATCCCA